ATATATATATATATTGTATATATATATTGTATATATATATATTGTATATATTGTAAATATATTGTATATATATTGTATATATATTGTATATATATATTGTACATATTTTTTATTAGTACACATTCCATTTATTGTATATATATACAATAAACGGTAGGTGTAATATACATTACTATATAAGTTCTACATATAAGTATATGTTTATATATTCTTTACTGGGTTATTGCAGAATAAAAAATATGTTTATGTACTGTTTATCTTATGTATATATATATATATATACAATAAACGTAAGTATAAGTATATTGCTTATCCGAAAAGTGTATTTTGATAGATTAACCTCGTGCAAATCAAATATCCAAAAGCAATAGCACCAATATCCTTCACTGAAATTCACCCAGGAAATAAAGAAAAAAAAATGCAACACAACATAATGCCAAATAGTACCAACATGGTTCAACTCTCCATACACAAAAAAGACAAACAAAACTACTTCAAATTGAGATGTGCGACGAGATCGGGAGCGAGTTGTCCTTGCTTCGTCTTCACTTTTGGAGGGTTTGTTCTCGATTTTATTTTCCTTTGCCATTGTTCTTCTAAATTTCACCGACGGTGACGGCTGATGGGACTGATGTAAGGAACTCGACTCGGTTGGGCCCGTGATGGCAGATTATTCACTCGGAGATTCTCGGTTTGACAACTTGATTGAGGTTGTCGTACGAGTTAACCTTGCTTCGCCATTACCATCGCTAGGATTCAGAGGCAGTGGCCTTTTTTCACCATTAATGAGCTTCGTGCGAAGAAATTTTATGGTTTCTGGGATATCTTCAATAGTGAGTAGTTTTGAGTCACTTTTGCAAGGGATGAAAATAGAGAAAAATGGATTTGCTTGAGATGCAAATTTCAAAATATTTTGTAGAGATATTATGAGATTGAGAATTGAGAGAGATTAATTTTTTTTAGGATGAAACTTGCAGAAGACTTTTGGAAGATATTATGGAAAAGATTTACACGATCCGGACATCTGTCCACTAATTATTTATTCAGTTTTTGGTGACTACGATTTATTGATTAAAATACTTCATTAGCCTTAATTTTAGTACCTAGTAGTATTAATAAAAATAAAGTTTGTCATTCGTATTTGTAAAAAAAAGTGTAACTCTAAGTGTAAGGAATGTAATTTTCTCTAATAAGAGCGAAATTTTATAAGAGGAAATTGCACCTACACTTAGGGCTGTAAACGAGTCGAGCCGAGCTCGAGCTTAAGGTGTTTGAGCTCGAGCTCGAGCTCTTAACAAGTCGAGCCGAGCTCGGCTCGTTAAGTAAACGAGCCAAAAATCGAGCTCGAGCTCGGCTCGTTAAGGCCTCGAGCTCGAGCCTTAACGAGCCGATCTCGAGCTTTAACGAGCCGAACTATAAAAAGTTACATAAATTTCACTTTTCGAGCATTATCGAGCCGAGCTTAACCAAACGAGCTTTAAATGAGCTCGAGCTCGGCTCGTTAAGGCTTCAAACT